GAGATGTGAAGCCAGGGTTGATCCCACGTTCCTGGACCACCTAGCACTCCTAGAAACTGTGACACAGGGAACTCCATGGTAGCACACAATGGCCATAACTGTAACTATGGGGTGACACAGGTACCTCTGAATCTCTGAAGAATTACTATAGCCTGAGCTACAATCCATAAGCCTACAGCTGATAATCAATCTCCAGAAATAGGGTAGCAACAGAGCTGCTCAAAGGGACAAGAGTCTGGTTTGCCAGTAACCTCTGGAGGAAAAAAATGATCTGCTCCTTTCTCCTGTCTCCACATTAAACCAGTAGACAGAGATTCAGAGTATGGGGGGGGGGGGGGGGCAATGTGACAGGCCTAAGAAGAGATGCTGAAGTTTATCTCAATAAAACAAGGCCTAACTGAAGAAAAAATATTTTAAGGAATAAATGTGAAGTCTGAGTTTTAGGAACAATTCTGTTGGTAAGAAGCAGGACACATCTCTGCGCTTGTACATACTTTTAACCATTAAAGTAGAATTCGTTCCTGTTTTTAATTTGGGCTAAAAATCCTTCCTTTTTTGGTGTATAAAATAACTTTTCAAGGATAAAAGCATTTAAAAAAATAACCAGGCTGATTTATATGCCAGATGTAAGCAACCTCTTTTCTGGCTCCTAAGTTACTTTTTGTTGTTTGTTTGTTACCACGATCTTTGTCTCCTGGGAGTTCACAGAGAGCTGACAGTCACAACATCAGTCAAGAAAACCTGACTGTTCAGGATTAGCTTAGTGGATAGCACAAAGTAGTATTGGAACTGAAGACAGGTCAATAGATACTAACACACACACACACACACACACACACACACACACACACACACACACACACACACACTCTAAAGGATTTAACAAAAAAAGTTAAGTTTTGGTGACCTGCAGAATAATAAATGACCTAATGTGTAACCGAGTTTGAGACAAAAAAGAAATGTGGGGCAGAAAATGTTTTAGGAAAGAGCAGAAATCTTTCCAGTTTGTAAATCAAGAAAACCCCAAGAAGGATATTTAGAAATCCTAAATTGAATGTATCATAGTCAAGCTACCATATGAAAGTCATCAAAGCACAAGACATTACCCACCAGGAATCAGTGGCATGAAGGAAAATGAGAACAATGGAGACCAGGAGTCAATGGAAGGTCAGCTCTGAAGAGCTAAAAGACAAAATCTGTGTGTGTGTGTGTGTGTGTGTGTGTGTGTGTGTGTGTGTGTGTGTGTGTGTGTGTGTGTGTGTGTGTGTGTGTGTGTGTGTGTGTGTGTGTGTGTGTGTGTGTGTGTGTGTGTGTGTAATGTGGCTTGAACTCAGAGCCTCTCCTTCCTGCTCAGCTTGCTGGCATTCTGATGGTGAATTGGCAGTGGAGTCTTAAGCACTTTCCTGCCTCTACTGACTTTGAACTTTGACCCTCTAGGTCTCAGTCTCTTGAGTAGCCACAATTAAAGGTGTCCAGTGTCCAACTCAAACCAGAATTCTACACTTAGAAAAAAAAAATTATTCTTCAACATAAAACATATGATACAATAGCACAAAGGAAGGAGAGGAGATGGAAGTATACTACTGTCAGGTTCTTATTTATATGAAGCGGTACAGGTTTTGAAGTGTAATGTATTACAGGTGCATATTGTGAGCCCTGGAACAAAGCCAACAAAGGAAATGAAACGGAACACTAAGACAAATTCAACCCAGGAGGAGACAGAAAGGAGGCACGGGAGAACCACAAGCTAACTGTGGCAGGCAGTTGGGGGAAGCGGAAATTAATGCAAATTTAAAGTTAGAAAGTCCAAAAGAGATCTCACTGCAACACAGGCTGGATAAACTACACACTCACAGTTCTTAAAACTTGTCATAGAGATGAGGACACATACAGGAGAGCTAAACCAAGTCCAAAGAGTGATAGGCCCATTTTAAAAGGCAAGAGACCTACGCTGTTGACTGAAATAGAGGACAAGGAATCTGCCACAGCAAGGTTTAAAGAGGAGCCAATGCAACCTGAAAGAGCTGAATGAGGACAGGCAGAGCAGGGTAGAACTCAGAGGACCTGCAGATGCAGATAATCCCCCCATCCTCTCTAACACACACACACACACACACACACACACACACACACACACACACACCTTCCCACCAATCTTCATCCAAAAGACAACAAGACACTGAGATGTCTTCACTGTACTACAGGCTTTCAGCTTGGGAAGGCTTGGGGGACAAAGGCCACACAGTGGGAGCTGTACAGAGGAGCAGCGTGGCGGGAGAAAGCAAGGGGCAGAACTGTAAAAGGCAATGTGAATTCCTCAGCCACCAAAAAGTGGCAGCTGGTCTGTATAACAGGGAGGTCCCTCCGAGGATTCAAGACTATTTGCAATATCCTGTAAACATATGAGAAGCTACTGATGGCCACTAGTCAAGAGATGAACACAAATTAAATTAAATGCTAGTTAAAAGATCATTGCAAGGGCCGAAGGTATGACTTAGCAGTGTCACATCAGCCTAGTGAGTGCAAGGCCCTGAGTTCTAAAAACTCCAGTAGTTCCCTCTCCCCAAAGAGCAATACTCATTAAGATTGCTAAATACAAAAAATATATATGAACAGAAAGTAACAAATGTTGGAAAGGATCTCTTACATATGGTTTGGAGGAGTATAACTAGTACAACCATGCTAAAAACTCCTGGACAATTTCTTCTAAAGGATTAAGTACATACCTACTCTGTGAAGCAATATTCCTCACTGGGATATTTATTCAAAAGAAATAACATATGTCCACCAAAAGCCTTGCACAAGAATGTTATATTAGCTTTACTCATATGAACACAAGTCTAGAAAAAATCTCAACAGGAAAATACACATTGCAAATTCATTGTTAAATAGTATACTGCAATAAAAAAGAATTAACTATGTTATGAGCAACAGCATGGCTGCACCTCAGATCAGTAATTTTCAGTGAAAGAAAGTAGACACAGAGAAGATACTAAGTGACTCCATTTATATTCAGTTCAACAAGTCATGTGAATCCCCAATGATAGAAGTGTCTTGCCAATGTTCTTCACGTTTCTCCTTGTTTCTGTGCTTCATTCAGGATAGCACTAGCACTCAAAAGGGAAAATGCACATCTAATGGATAGGCAGCAAGCATATTACAAAAAGGCCAAAAACTGGTGACAAGTAAAATGAATCCAGAGACATCCTGCCATTCCTGGCAGTACTTGTGAACTCAGGACCTAACAGTTACAGTAGAGTTTACTGTACCATACATACAAGTCAAGAAAATAGCGAAGTTCAGTACACAACCGATGCTACACCGTAACCCAGTTGTTTCAAGCTTTGGAGGTGGCTGGCATTTTCAGTTCCTGGAAGCCAAGTAGTATTAGCTTAAGCACAGGGACCTTAAGATCAGCACTGAACTGGCATGTAAGGAAAGTTTCAAAGTCCTCTTCCCCTTCTCCCTGCTTCATCTTTCTTTCTTTTTCTGTTTCTTAATCCACATAGCTACTTATCAGCCCTTTGCACAGTACTGCGCAGTAGTCCAGAGAGAAAGACAAATTCATTTTGCCTTTTTTTTCCCCCTGCTTTCCTGCTCCTTCCCTTCTCTCCCATGGGTGTTTGCTTAGGTCAGGCATTTACCTATGCCTGGGCAGTCAGATGAGCAGAAAAAGCAATGGTACATAGCACACGATGGTAGTGCCCTACAAGGCAACAGGACAGGGGAGAGGGAACGTCTGAGAAAAGGCAGGCGGGCAAACAACCCGCTAGAACTAGATAGCAGCCACATATTAGGACCTCATTCTGTGATCTATTTTTTGCTCAAGGATGGCACTCTACCACTTAAGCCACAGCCCCACTTCTGGCTTTTTTAGGTGCTTAATTGGAGATAAGGGTTTCCTGGATTTTTCTGCCTGGGCTGGCTTTGAGCCACACTCCTCATATCCCAGCCTCCTGAGTAATTACAATTATAGACATGAACCACTGGCATGCAGCCCTGTGATCTATTCTTTTATCTGATTTTAAAACTCTGTATCTATCTAGACTTTTCAAATTTTTAGTAGTTGATATCAAATTAAAGGTTTAAATAAACATGCTAAGTGGTACCTTTTTCAGGGAATGTAGGAAGAAGTATACATAACAGTACAAACTGTAGAGAAGGGGCTGCCAGTTGGGTATCAGCTGGTGTCTCCAGCATGACAATTCCTCAGATTTCTTTTCTACAGTTACAATACTTCTCCAGGGCATGTCTCCAAACACAGGCAATCACCTGGGAACTGTACTCTGTCCTTTGCCCATTCAAACTAAAGCAGTTCTAATGACAGCACAAGGAGAGGTTCAAAGGAGAAGAGGTAAGCAGGAGGCCCACCAGGCCATTCATAAAGCCTACTTAGTTCAACTCAAAGCTCCTATTCCATAGAGTTGTTCCAGAATTATTCTTAAAACAAGCAAATGGAAGCATAGACAGCAGTAAAACTAGAAAAACAAAATTTTGAGTAAGCCCCAACTCTTCTGGGTAACAGGTCAGATATAAACAAAAAATGATGTGAAAATAATCAGGAAACACATAACCTGTCGCTAGTTATTGGGAAGCAGTGTTACTAGAAGTACATCACTAACCTCAGAGAATAGTGGAAGGAAATGACCAAACTCTACAACACATTGTTCTTTTTTTTTTGTCAGTCATGGGGTTTGAACTCTGGGCCTGGGCACTGTCCCTCAGCTCTTCAGCTGAAGGCTAGCACTCTACCACTTGAGCCACAGCATCACTTCCAGTTTTCTGAGTGGTTTATTGGAGATAAGAGTCTCACGGACTTTCCTGCCTGGGCTGGCTTTGAACCGTGATCCTCAGATCTCAGCCTCCTGAGTAGCTAGGATTACTGGCATGAGCCACTGGCACCCAGCAACACATTGTTCTTATATAGAATGATAAAACACAGAATTCTAGGTTTACATGTTATTTTATGTGTATAAAAAGAGCTCACAAATAAAGTATTATATCCATGTACTTTGGCTCTCTAGCCTGTATAAGTGTCATATACAAAACCTTACAAGCATTATGTTTGTTGATATATTTTCTAGGTAACTCTCAAAAGAGAACCTAACTTTCTGGTATCTGAGGATACAAACTTGCAGAAGGCTAGAATGAGTACACACTACTGAGCCTGCTCAGATACAATAAGCCCTAAAGCAACGATCTGATTCTAATCTGACTAAAAATTTTCACAGTAAATATAGTTAGAAATGAGACATTTGCAATGTAAGGTTAAAATCTTATTTTTAAAGTGAAGTCACTGCTATATGGATGTAAGTTGTATAAATGGCATCGAACCTATTAAGGCAAATGTCTAAAAATTAGTTCCTACACTTTCTCTTGGAAATATCTATGCTTGGAAGAAATTCTGGAGAAAGTGTCTTTCATTTATTTTCCCATGGTACTGAAAACCGGACCTAGGGCCTCATGCATGCTAGGTAAGTATTTTATCACTTGAGCTACACCCTTGGCCCCAAAGAAAGGAAGTTTTTCATTTATGGATTTCACAGGCATAGATTTAACATTCTCATGCCCTGCCTCCCCTCCCCCCGCAAATTCTATGACAGGTAGGAAACTGTAATTTTGAGTCACACACTTCACTTCAATATAATGGAAGACATTGATATCCCTAAAAGAATTTGAGTAAACAACAAACCCAGCCTTTGTGATACCTGTATCTGTCTCTGCTCCCTCCATAATCACCCAGTAACAGTCCCATGATACCCAACGTATACTATGTTTATTCACACGCTCTCTATATTTACATAGGGAATGCTGTCTGACTGTGAAGACCATAAATGTGTGGAGTCACAGCAGAGGGTACCTGATACCCTCTCAAAAATGTGAAGTGTTTAATGGTGGGTAAAGCATGTGTAGAACTCACAGTTATATGACTCAATTCAAATTGTACTACTAAATTCTAGCATGATTCCTTAGTAAAGTAAATTTGGTGGACACCAGTTACTTACTGAGATGTGGGTACTAGGACAATTGTATCACAAAGTTCACCTTAGTCTCTTATGAGAATTGAGAACTGAAGTAGCTCTTTATAGAGGTATCAATAGCCCCATTTAAGACATAAATGTGCCCCTTATGCTGACATCAGAAGAAAACTCTAAGTCCTATTTTACCTACATTCCTTTCTCTCATCTTCAAACAATCAAATACTTGCAAGTTAGTTATGTCCACAACCCACTCCCTAAGCATACAGTGAGCAAGCAACAGGGGTAATTTAGGATAGACAACAAACTACTGTATGCTGTAGACTAAGATTACCTGGAGGTAGGAATTGCAGCTGGTTATTAGCTAATCGAAGATGACGTAAAGCTTTCAGACGACCAATTTCTGGGCAAACAATTTCTAAGGCATTGTCACTAAGATCCAGACACTGGAGTTTTACAAGAGACCCAATAGCTTCAAAGAGAAGAGAAGGGAAAGGTGAAATTAGTCTGACTTGAGAGTGACTTCGAGTTCAAGTTGAAACATTTTAATTCTTTACATTCCCATGTTGGTTGTTCTCAAAACACTAAAAACATAGGTCACACTGAATTCTACAAATCTGACAACTATTTCTTACCTTGAAATAAGATAAACTAACTTTTAAAAAGAAACAAAGACAATGTAAAAGTTGTTTGACTAAATAAGAAATTCAAGAAGTAAGCTAGCCGTGTGGTACCTGAACGTAATCACAGGGCTAAGGAGGATAAGGCAGGGAGGACTCAAGTTGGAGGCCACCCTGGGAGGCCACTTAAGTTGGAGGCTATCCTTGTATAGGAGACCCTACCCCAAACAAACAAAAACAGATACACAAAAAATTTTCTGGATTTATTAAATGAAAAACTTGCTTTGTTATTTACCTGATATTAATTTACCTAATAAATTACCTGACCATTAGAGCCAATTTAGATTTAGTCAAAATGCTTGTGTGTGTGCGCAACACATTGTGTGGTTACTTGATATTTATAAATTAGTTCTAACTTCCACATGAGAGAAAACATGTGTTCTTTGTCTCTCCAGGACTGTATTGAGTCAAAATTCTTAACAGAACTTATTGAAAGTAGTTTTGAAGCATGTACATTAAAAGTGCTTTGTAATTAAAATTCCCTAATACACCAACTAAAATAGGGTTAAGGAGATGAGCTGTTCTATTCAGAAAGCAAAGCTTTTACTTATGTTGTCTTCTAAAAAAATGTAAATATGCTTACCTTCTGGAACCACAACTATGTTATTTGAATGGAGGTACCTGCGGGGAAAGGGAAGATAAAAGTGATTATCTAGTATCTCTGCTAGATAATCAGTTACAAATGCGAGTGCGAATTTCATCAAGAATAAATGAGACAAAACTTGCTTGCACACCCTGCTTTTAAACATCAACACAAAGTAAGTCATCACAGCTAACTCATGGTCCTTCGTAAGAAATGTTTTATGCTAAGATCATAAATATTTAATCTATTGATATTGTTGTATTTTCCAACACCATGAAAAATTATTAGTTTTTTCAGTCATGTAAGTTATTCAGATTTTTGCAAATTCCCCCATTGTATATTTAAAAAAAAAACAATACCAGTTGTATAAAACCAGATACAACTTTTCATTTCTAAAGGATAAATTCAGAAAATAAAGATATTGTTAGCTGGCTTACTGAGAACCACGAAATAAAAGATTAAACATTCACCATATAAGTAAGAATAGAGACCTGGGGTATGGCTCAGTGACAGTGTTTCTTCCCAGCACGGCACTAAATAAGTACTAAATATGTACTTATGTATGAACATTCATATATACCTACATACATTCCTAATCTGCAGTAATATACAGCTGTCAAGGCACAGAATTTATTTCACAGCAAAAGAATTTCACAAACAAGCTATTAAATTGTTCCCTTTTAAAAAATGAAACACACACACACACACACACACACACACACACACACACACACACACACACACACACACTCACTGCCAAGGCTGGCAAGTCTAGGCAAGCCTGCAGTCGCTGTTTCCAGAAGTGTCTTTAGCACACTCTGGTGGACGTCCACTTCATCGGTAACCAGCAGTTCAGAGAAAACTACATAGTGACTGTCAGAGATCATATGGAAATTTGAGAAAATAAGTTTGTGTCACTCATTTTTGGACAAAAGAACTAGGTTTTAATAAATTTTACTTTCAACCCTATCAGTAAGTCCTCATGAAGTATTTATGTCTAAAACTTGATGCTATTGTCAATGAACAGAATGAAAGAAAATTTCATGAAGTCTAGGACAGATTAAATCAATATTGTAGATGATATTAATGTCATGGGCACTGAAATCAGCCAAGATTAGATATAGCTGGACAGTAATACCTGAAGTGTTTCCCCAGGAAAAGCCTCCAGGTCTTTTACTGATCATTTTTATGGTTTGCACAAGCTTTTCAAGAGTGGACATGAGTAGAGGCGATGTCACATGCTTATTATCCCCACACAGCACTCCCCAGGGAAGAAAAGCAATCATCCCTTCGTGCCACTAAACCAGGAGCTTTTTGCTTCTGGAGGAAGAGGCAAGTTTAAGCTATGGCTCCTGGCCTCCTTGCAAGTTTGCTCTGCAATAATGCCTTTTTTTTTTTTTTTTTTGCTAAAGCCCAAATCCACAGTTATGGTTTGCATGCATATTGGCAGTGAGCCCTTACTGGCAACAGTTGAACAAAACAGAGTCAAGTACCTGATTCTCTGATAGAGGCTATTCCTTGCTTTGTGTACATAAATTGACTGATTTAAAATACTGACATTTAAAAATCAATATTTTGTTTTTGTTTTTGTTTTTGTCAGTCACAGGGCCTGAACTCTGGGCCTGGATGCTTTCCCTCAGCTCTCCAGCTCAAGGCTAGTGCTCTACCACTTGAGCCATAGCTCCACTTCTGGCCTTTTCTGCTTATGTGGTGTGGAGGAATCGAACCCAGGGCCTCATGCATGCAAGGCAAGCACTCTACCACTGAGCCACCTTCCCAGCAAAAAAATCAATATTTTTGAAGATTTAATTATACAAAGGAATATCTAATTACCAGGTGATCTTATAATTCTTTGAGCTAAAAGACTATAAATGAGTATATGTTAGGCACACACCATAAAAATGGCAAATCTGTTTTTGTTACACAAAAGCTAGAGTGCCACCACATAAAAACTAAACAGAATTGACTTAAAACATTATTTTGTCCAGGCACACTGGTTTCCACCCAGCTACTTGTGCGGCAAAGATAAGAAGGATCACAGTTCAAAACCAGTCTGGATAAAATGTTAGTGAGACCCCACTGAAACAATATAAGCCAGGTCTGGTGAACACAAAGCAAGGTTAAAAAACAAAAACCCACAAAAAAAACTAAAGCAAGAAGGGCTGGAGGCATAGCTCAAGTGGCCAGCACTGGCCTAGCAAGTGTTAAACCAGGAATTCAAACCCCAGTACTGAAAATAAATAAAATTATTTGCCTCAGCTCAAGTTCTACATATAGAAAGAACTTCAAAACACCCAAATAAGATTAATTCACTAAAGTACTCACTATTATGGTTGAAATTTAAAAGGGACTTTTTAACATAATAAATTTAAGTTATGCTGACAATGCAGAGACTGAATGAGGTAAGGGTCTTCAAGACCTTGGTGCCCAAAGCCATCATAAACTAAGGAAAAGTCCACTGTGCACATGACTGAGGATCATGCTGGCACTTGGCTGAGCCCTGCACCAGGCTGCTGTATCTGCACAACCATGTGGCCACAGGAAATTACTGCTCTCTCTGGCCCTCATTAAGGAGAGCCCTGCACCAGCATGGGGGGATGGGGGAGAAAAGGAAGAATATCAGAAGGAGCCAGGGGAGGGAACCCAATTCTATGTACAGACTCTGTTTAAATCAGTGACCAGACTCAGAATCATGCATACCATGATACTACAGCTAAGGATGAAAGAACTAGACCAAGACTTCAGTTGCTTTTGTTTCAGTCATACAAGGTGAAGTACTTGTGAAAACAAAAAGTATTAGTTTGACAGAATAGATTCCAGTTTCTAAAATGCAACATTCCCAACTTCTAGCACATAATCTAAAATTAAAATTACTCAATATGTGAAAACTCAAGAGAATGTGATCTATTATCAACACCAACAAAGATAAACAGCATATTAACCTAGCATAACTCAGATGTTGGAACTGGAAAAGATGTAAAGACACAGTTACTATAATCTACTTTAGATCATTGAAGTGATCTAAAATAAAATACCTTAATATTTTAATTTAGGATCTTTACAAGAGAATCCTTTTCATGATTGGGAGAGACAGGTGGAAATAAGGTTTGTGTTATTTACAGGTGGGGGGGAAACAGCACATAGTTCAGCTGGAGGTCATATATGAAGACCAGGAAGTACACAAGCAGGAAGAGATGGGGGCCTGTGGGAACGTCTTTATTGCGCTCCTTGACATTACCCCACAGATTTCTCACAAGGAGCTTCACTGATGCAAATATTAGCGCTATAGAGGTGACCAACAGAAGAACTAAAACCAGTGAATTAAAACCTGGTTTTAATGCAGGGAAACCTGCACATGTATCTGAAACACTGTATGCCACTTAACTGTTTATATCAATATCTCATATAGAAATAAGACAAACAGATTTTCCAATATACAGATTATCAAGAAGGATTCTGACAAAGCAATGGATCTATAACATCCTTGTTATATGAACTGAGGCATTTGAAACAAACTTGAAAGTACTTTGAAATACTAAGGAGTTTGACACAGCCACAGGTTGACCTGATGCCCCAAAGTAACAAATCAAACACATTAAAATGATATATTCTATTATTTCAAATAACCTTTAAGTCATTCCCATTCTTGTTTAAAAAAAAAAAAAAAGAATAAACAGACTCACAGTTCCACAAGGTTTGGAAGCTTCTGAGCAAGGTTTTCTGGCTGAAAATTAAAAACTCAGAATTAAATTTTATCTTTGGGGGGAAAAAACATATAAACATTTCTAATTAGCTTAAATTCAGAGTAATATCTTCCTGAGGGGTGGAAAATGTTAGGAAAGTATGAGAGGTTTGGGGTTTATGCTTACACAGACCATAATACAATTTACTAACTTGAACAGTTAATATCATTGTCCCTTAGAGCAATCTGAGGCTCATATTGCATGGTCATGGAAGAAATAAAAATGTGTTTAAGAGACACAGACAGAAGACAAACACCATGAGACAACAGGGCCAGAGATCGAAGCCACGCAGCTGTGCAGAGGGTGCCCAAGAATGCGAGTGAGGAAGCATGAAAGAGATTCTCCCCAAGGGCCCCCCAAAAGAACCAATTCTGATGACGCACTAACTGTGGGCGGTGGCCTCCAAAACTGTGAGAAAATAAACGTCTGTTATTTAAGCCACTCATTTCATGGTGTTTAGTTATGGAGGCTCAAGAAAGTATCAAACCTCTGACACCCAAGTGATGCGCCAGAAGGGAAAAGTCCAGAAAATCCCCAGGGCTTCCAGGCACTAAGAATGAACAGAGATGGGGCTCAAGTGATCCAAGGGAGGGTCAGACCTGACTAAAGGTCCTGAGGTCAGTGAATCGAGGTGACAGAGAGAGGGAAATGATTAAGAGAAGTGACTTTCCTGGCAAAAAATCCTAGAACAATTCTACTCACAGGCTGAAAGCTACAAGAGACCCTGTAGACAGTTGAAAACAACCTGCACATACAAATAATCACACACACACACACACACACACACACACACACACACACACACACACACACACACACACATACACAGATAAAGAGTACAAATTTACAGGCACAGATAAAATAGAACAGAGTGAGGAAATATTTCTCATTGTATATTCTTATATACTATCAGGTGAGCTAGTTATCAGTGACAAAGAATCGCAAATGGCTTTTTAGAAAACATTGGGTCTGACTTGAGTTCTGAAAATCAAATGTAAGTTCTAAGAGGTAGGCAAGAGGTGGAGAAAAAGAGTCTGGCCAGCCTCCCAAGTATAGGAGGTACCTGAAGGCCAAAGAGAAGGTATGCTTAGGAAGATGAAAAGTGTACCTTTCTAGATGTAATGGCTTAACGAAGTCTAGTGTTGGAGATTAGAAATCTTTAATTGCAATAACAAAGTAAGTTTTATATATAGAGAGAAAATTTTTAGTGATTACCATCAGGGAAAGTACCAGGAATGCCACTCTTTACCATCTTGTGTCATTTCGATTTCTAGCAATAAAATGTCTTTTGTAACTGGAAAATGAAGAACTTTAAATCTGGTAGCACAGTAGAAACTGCCACATTACTGATTGATCAATCAATCAATCAATCAATGACATACATTTTGAGAAACAAACACTCAACAGGACCAAGGCTATTATTTTGTTATGTCTAGGCCCTCATGTTTAAAAGATAGACAGTGACTCTGTAGGGTGTTAAAAAGGACATCATTAAAGTCATATCTTATGCTACGGAATTACTTTCTTAAAAGTCCTTTACAGGGTGCTGGGCTGGCGAAAAGATAGACTACGGTTAAAATTGGTTACTTGCAACTATGAAAACAAAAACTATGAAAAAACAAAAATCTGTGAAAACAAAACAGGGAATCTTTTGGGGGATGATATTTTGTGGGGGGGGGGAAAGGAGAGTGACGGGGGTGAGATACTGATTTGGAATGGAGTGTAAACCATGTGTGGAAATATAACAATGAAATTCTCTCCATATAACTAAGCTAATGAAAGTATTTTTTTAATTCTACATGTAATAGAAATCCAGTGAACCTAGAACAAATCATGCTAAGTGAGGTAAGCCAAGCAAAGAGTGACAAATGGTGCATGTTTTCTCTCATATGTGGAAGCTGATCTAGAATATACCTGGACATAATTCCCTACAGAGGACTCTAAGTATTCACATGGACTGAAGGAAGATTCTCTTAGGGGAGGAACACAAAAATGTAAATTCTCTGTACACTTAAAATACTATCTATTGAAACAAACTCCAGGAAATGAAAATATGTTGTTGTTATTGTTATTATTGGTTGTGGTGATGTTTGTTTTTGCTTTGAGAGGCTACAGAAAGGGAGGGAGGAAGGGTGAACAATTACAATCATGATATTTAGTATATACTATGTAGAAAATGATCTATGTAACTTGTGGACAAGGATGGAAGGGGGAGAAAATGGGGGGAAGTAAAGGGTGACACTGTCCAAAAAAAGAAATGTACTCATTACCTGACAGCTTAATAATAACAATAAAATTATTTTTTAATCTATAAACAGTAGAAATTCAGTGGTTTTAGACAAATGACACTGTAAATTTCATATTGACATACTTAAATATTTAGCATCACTATCCCAAGCTGGCCTATTATGTGTGTTCTTGCTTTTTTAAATAACCAAATATCACTGAATATGGTTATTATTTGGGGGGTGAGTAAGGCATTTATTGAGTACCTACATTTAACAGAACCATTTGCATTTAGTTTTAAGATGATGGAAGCAATGATTCTTTTTCTCCATGTTCTGATGTTCTGATTATTATATATGTGATGAAGTCCTTTAAAAGTCCGTCACAAGGGCTGAGAAGGTGGCTCAGTGGTAGAGTGCTTGCCTTGCATGCATGAGGCCCTGGGTTTGATTCTTCAGCATGACATAAGCAGAAAAAAAAGCCAAAGTGTCACTGTGGCTCAAGTGGTAGAACTCTAACCTTGAGCTGAAGAGCTGAAGGACAGCGCCCAGGTGCAGAGTTCAAACCCCACAACTGACAAAAAAAAAAAAAAACTCCCTCATAAGCCAAGTCCAATGGTTCATGCCCGTAATCTTAGCTACTCAGGAGGCTGAGATCTTAGAATCACAGTTCAAAGCCAGCCCTGGCAGGACAGTCCTTGAGACTCTTATTTCCAACTAACTACCAAAAAGCCAGAAGTAGAGCACTAGCCTTGAGCACAAAAGCTCTAGGATAGCACCCAGGTCCTGGGTTCAAGCCCAAGACCAGTACCCACAAAAAAAAAAAAAAAAATAGTCCTCACAAGGAGGTCTATCCAAATCTTTGCCATGTTTCTTATAGCACTGGTATTTTTCCTACTGAGAAGAACATGGACTTCCACTTATGGATATACATACCAAGCACTCTGGGAAAACTAGAGAACTATAAGGCACAAGTACAAAAAGGAAAGCTGTGAGCAGGAAGGATGCTGTAGATGCTTACCTACTTCCATCTGCTACAGTATCAGGACTATACCTGGCTAGTGCACATGACCTCCTTTTTGCATACTTACTTGGCCCCATTGGATGGAGTTCTACTATTTCAATGGCAGACTAATTCCTTTGAGTTATAGCTTCAGATATAATTTGGCTCTTAAAAAAAAAAAAACTCCTGCTGGCAATACAGAAAATCACTATGCCTTTATTAATAGGTAAGTACACTGTGTTTTTATTTTTAAATTGGCACAATGACCTTGAGAAAACTGTAGTTCATTGGAATACTGTCTTTTAAGCTACTTATGAAGAATGCTCAGGCAGCCTATGATAGGCAGTGTGATGGAGAGGCCGTGGCTGACACCTACTGGTGTTCTGTAGTATCTTTTTCTGCTTCCCACCATCACGTTTTCAGCAATATAGTTCTGTCATGTATGGAAACCACTGTACATCTGCATTTTCACACATCTGTGATTCAGGTGTAGTGCATATGAGACTGCAGCTAAAAGTTAATGTCAGATGGTGGAAGCTTTGCTAAGTGCATCCTTGATAAGGACACCACAAACATAAATCCCTGTGCAACTTGAGACCGCAGTGCAGGTGCAACTAGAAGCCGCCAGCACCCAGGGTTCAGCACTGCTCTGTCCTGACCTCTAACAACACTTTTCAAAGAGGTCACATAGTAAATGCATTTTGGTTCTTATAGCAGTTATGAAACAGAATCAAGTAGAATGAATTTGGACCCCTACTGCTTCACACCATATAAAGAAATATAATGGGTCAAGCAAGACCTTAACATTTAAAAGCTAAAATCATAAGTCATAGAAATAAATCTCCTTAACCTTTGAACTGACAACGGATTCATAGATACTACACCAAAAGTATGAGTGACAATAGAAAAAAATAGGTAAGTTGGACCTTACCAAAATTTATACATTAAAGGACATAACAAGTAAAAAGACAACCTGTAGAATGGGAGAAACCCTTACAAATGATTTATCTGGATAAGAGTCTAACATCCAAAAAATAAAAAGAACTTTTACAACTCAACAACAAAAAAAAGGGCAAATAACTAAAAATGAAGGGCAAAGAAGACCTGCTATAGCATGGTTCTTGAGTGTCCCCCAAGGCACATGGGTTAAGGAGAACAAGTACCTGAAAAGATATCAATATCCGCTGGAATTGCGATCCTAGCCACCTAGCAAAGACTGGAGGAAGACCAGGCCAAATAAAAAAAAAAAGAGTTCTCAAGACTCCACCCAGTGGAGTACGATAGTACTAGGTACAATAGTAGATACCTGTCATCCCACCAACACAGGAAGCACAAACCAGGGATCACAGACCAGGACGGCCTAGGCATAAAGTGAGACCATGTCTCAAAAATAACCAATACAGGGGCTGGGAAGATAGCCCAGTGGTAGAGTGCTTGCCTTGTATGCATGAGGCCCTGGGTACGATTCCTCAGCACCACATAAGCAGAAAAAGCTGGACGTGGCGTTGTGGCTCAAGTGGTACAGCACTTGCTTTGAGCTGTGGAGCTGAGGGACAGCACCCAGGCCCAGAGTTCAGGCCCCATGACTGGCAAAAAAAAAAATAACCAATACAAAAAAGGGCTTGAAGATTGGCTTAATTAGCAAGTATGAGGCCTTGAGTTCAAATCCCAATACTGCCCCCAAAAAGATGTTCGGCATCAGTTTTAATTTAATACAAATAGAAATGAATTACCTATTTTAATAGGTACCTATTAGGATAGCTATAACAATAAAGAAAAAAGAAAGAAACTATCAAGTGTTGGTAGGAACGTGGAGAAACTAGAATGCTTGTTTATTATTAACGGTAATATAAAATGGTTCAGCCACAATAGAAACCATTCAGCAGTTCCTCAGGAAGCTAAACATAGAATTGCCATACAGTCTTCAAATCCTCCCTACATATATTACAAAAGAATTACAAATGGGTCTTCAAACATGTGCATGAACATTCCTGTTGAGAGCAAGACTATCTGCAATAGCCAAAGGATAGAAACAGCCCAACTGTCCATCAATGGATGAATGGATATACAAATGGATGGCACAGCCATACAATGGAATCTTAGAAAATTAAAAATAAAAATGTATTAAGTACAAAGTGTAATTTGGATGAACCTTGAAAACACTCTGATACATGAAGGAAGCCAGATACAAAAGGTCGCATGGTGTTGACCCCACTTATATAAACTATCCGGAATAGATAAATCCCTAGCAAGACACTGGTGGTTGCCAGAACTTGGAGTGGGGACTGGGGAGAAGAAAGAGAATCTGGAGACAATGATGAATGGGCCCATGTCCTGCTTCAGATTAATGAAGTAGCCAGAGGTCCTGCCACGTCAACTGTGAATGTACAAAATGTTGCTCAACTCTTGACCAAAAAAATGATTAACTTTTCTGTTATACCAGTTTCACCCCAATAAATTAATTTTTTTCAATTAAAAAGAAGTTGATGAAGTTTGAGTACTGAAGGAAAAAGTACCTCATGCACAACTCCCTCCACAAGCTTCCTAGTTGAGTCAGTGATCTGAAGTCATTGCTTCTAGGCCAGCGGACATCATGAGCTAATACCACATGTCTATATGAAAACAACTGAAGCTGGGCACTGGTGACTCACACTTGGAATCCTGGCTACTCAGGAGGCTGAGATCTGAGGATCACAGTTTGAAGCCAGCTGGGGCAGGAAAATCCACGAAATTTCAATCTCCAATTAACCACCAGAAAACTGGAAGTGGAGTTGTGGCTCAAAGTGGTTGAGTGCTATCCTTGAACAAAAAAGCTCACGGACAGTACCCAGGCCCTGAGTTCAAGCCCCATGACTGACAGAACAAACAAACAAACAAAACAAACAAACAAAAAACCACATGCTGGACTTCTTTCCTACCAACAACGATTGTTCCTTTCCCTCTGTAATACCTTCCATTTTTACATAGTTTACAGAGGAACCTGAACCCCTAGTAGGCTGGAGCCAGTAGAGGGATAATGAGCACAACCTTTCTTCTACTGTAGCTTAAATATTCTCCAGTCTCCTCACCATTTGTAATCTTTTGACATTTTATGCCTTTGCTCATGATCTGCTTCCTCAAAATACCTCCTTTTTGGGGCTGGGAAGGTGGCTCAGTGGTAGAGCGCTTGCCTTGCATGCATGAGGCCCTGGGTTCGACTCCTCAGCACCACATAAGCAAAAAGAAGAAAGCCAGAAGTGGCGCTGTGGCTCAAGTGGCAGAGTGCTAGCCCTGAGCTGAAGAGCTGAGGGACAGCAACCAGGCCCAGAGTTCAGGCCCCACGACTGGACCCCCCCTCAAAAAAAAAAAAACAAAAAAAAAACGCACACACACACACAAAAAAAAAACCCACCTCATTTTCTTTTCCTCCATTTCTCTCTACCATGATGCAGACACTGTCCCTTCTGTCCAACACAGCAGCTACTAGCTATGTGTAGCTACTAAGTAATTAAAATCTGGTTCTGTGGAGCCAGGCATGGTGACACATGCCTATATTTATTAAGGACTGGAGGCATGGCTCAGCAGTAGAGAACCTGCCTAGCAAGTACCATCAATTTTAGAAAAAAGATAGAAATTTAAGAAGTTGGAGCTAGCCTGAGCTGGTGGCTCAGGAGTCTGAGACCTAAGTACCACAGTTTGAAGCCAGTCTGGGCAGAAATATCTGAGAGACTCTTATCTCTAACCAGCAAAAAGCAGGGCTGGAGGTGTGGCTCAAATGGTAGAGCACCAGCTATGAGTAAGCTAGCTGAGTAAACAAGAGGTCTGGAGTGCAAGCTCCAGTACTGGCAAAACAAAATCTACCCCAAAAGCATCAAAAGAATATAAATGATATAACAATTCAATCCCATTTGTACTACAAATACTTAATGCTCTGTATCCTTAGGATCCTCCTTCTGCCCTCACACCTTCCACTCCTCCACAGTTATAATCACAATTAAATTTCCTGTAAACTTTTTGTTTATTCCTTACTTTAGCCATACAACAGGGACAATATGATTACCTTCCTCAAAAAGGTTGTCTTGAGAATTTAGTAACACATGTAAACTGCTCAAAACAACATCTGGCAGCTGTCTACAGGTAAATACCTTGGTAAAGACTCAAATGATGTTCACCATTACCAGACTTTAATTCATCCACACTGATGGAGACTGAGGCTGCAGCAATGATGAACATCTGTTCTCCTTTTTTGCTCTTTTTGCAAGCATACTCAGTAAAAAGTTCCTAGGTAAGGTCCAGTCAACTAGCGCAGTCAATTCCCACTCCCAGAATATGTGACATAATCATCTTAAAGTCTCCCAACACTGAGTAGTAATAATTCCTATAACCAGGCATTAATCTTCATCTTCGACTATCTGACAGGCAAAAATGAGCAGTGGGTTTTTTTAAAATCACTTGTCCAGTGCTTTTGTCATCTGTATTCTTACATTATTTACCTGTTCTGTTCCATGTACAACATCAGGGACGTTTTCTCCTCTGCCAATGGAAAAGAAAACACCTGTGTCTCACTCCCCAGCCCAATTCACAAAGGTGATTGAGCGCTCTCCAATTCCCTCTGATCTCAGCAGAAAATAATTTTTAATTTAAATTCTCCCTTGATGCAAAGATTAACTGCTTACTCAGAAGCCAAGCTCCCTTGTAACATTAAAATGTAGGTGCCTCTTCTGTTTTAATCCACTCATAAGTATAAATAAAGTGAGAGCTCTATAGCAAGTCACTCATTCCCAAGAAAACCAGCAGCCCCCATTAAAGATCCAACAGACTTGTGATTCAGCTTCCCGCTGGTGGACTTTCATTCTGCAATGAGGGAAATGAGGTGTAACAGGCTAAGCACATAGAATCCAGGTCTATTACCTCAGTCCTAACAAACCCCTTCCTGGTACTTCAGTCTTTTGTTTCTTCCATGGCTAATTCCCTCCCTCAGTGAGCTCCAGAGCTAAGACCAGATGGACAGTGACTATAATCCCAAGATGTGCTGCTGCTTCTGCTCACAAACACCCAGCTGGGAGCAATAAAAAATATGAAGGTAACAACCTTCATACCTTGGACAGCTGCATGCAGCAGAGAATGTTCTAGGGACAAGCAAATCTTTCTATCTGAGCTTAGCTACCAAATGCCCATTCAACAATAAATGCCTAGCAGCTCTACCACCTTTCTCCAGCCTAACTGCCACTGAAAGTGGTCCCCTGAAACCTGCGCTCTGCACAGATCAAGTGAGATCTAGAAACCAGTAAGAAAGAAAAAATGTAGTTGATGATATAGTCATCGCTGGTGCCCTGAAAAAGGCTGGGTTACTGATTTACAGTAAGCAATCAATGAATCCATGTTGAAGGGCTTCACGATTCTTATCCTCTAAGTCAGTCTTTAGCGTCATGTAGATGGGATCTATTTTAAAAGTCTTCCATAATCCTGCTCTACAAAATTAAATTATGTGCCCCAAAACATTAGAGGATAGGCCAAATAGGGACACATACATACTCAAGACAACTTCTGTCCATGAGCACTCTCAGTCTTTGCGCAACTCTACTTGACATCACTTATTTACTTGTTCTACAACTGCAAATACCTGTCACCTCTATCACATGATTGTGAATACCTAGCTTCCTATTTGTACTTCCCTTCATTACTGAGATGACAGGCATGTGCACCATGCCTAACCATGGTGCTTCCCCCATACCTTGGAATGACAGGCATGCAACACAGTGCTTAGCCACTGATTTGAATTAGGGTCTCTCCCACTCTTACACTTGGGATTGAGATCCCCTTATCACCAACTCCCAAAGAGCTAGGATTTCAGGCTGAAGCCACTATACCTGGCTCCAAAAAAAAAAAACTAATTTCTTTAAATAAAACTCATTTCATTGGGCTATGA